TCATCAAACTTTATGAAAATTGCAAAAGAATTATGATAATAGTTTTAAAAGAATTAAAACTATTATCATTTGACATGTAATAATATAATCTAATCATTCAACAAAAATAAAACTTCTTCAAAGAATTGAAATTAAATATTTTAAAGCATTAATGCAATTATGATATTTACCATTTCTGTTGAAGTATCGCAAATAAATTTAATTCTTGATGTCAGTTTTTTCTTCCCATTTTCACACAATGATCCAAATGGATAAAGTATTGTTACATAGCCTTCAAAATCAATCATTGGTGATGTTGGAATTCCAAGACTCTTAAAATTTTTTAAAACTTTTATTAATCTTCATTTATAAACAAAAATAAAGCAAATAGACTTTTACTTACTGTAGCTGATTTATTGACTTTATTAATTTTGCAAATTCCAGCATCTGGAGGACAACCTATTCCATTTATGTTGACTGAATCACATACACTTAAATAATATAAATCATTTTTACCCGTTAAATCATTTACAGTATAAGTTGACTTGCTTAATGGTGTTAAATCATATGACTCTGAACCATTTGAAATTATGCAATGTTTCTGCAAAAAAAAATATTATTATTATTTGAAAATAATTATTAACAGATAATCTTAAATTATAATATTTAAAGAAATTACTTTGTTTTCACAAGCTAATGATGTTGACCAAATAAAATAATAAGTACAATCTTCAGATTCAAACTGAAACATGGGCTTTCCTTCTCCACTACCACACTTGAATTCTATTATAGTATGACGTGAATACTTTCCATGACAAATATCCCCACCACTATAATTTAAAGTCAATACTCCTTCATGAAAATTTAATTTAGAATTTGCTAGGCCTGCATTCCATCTTTTATTACTTTCTTCATCTTCTTGACAAGATCCTAATAGAATATATATTTTTTTAAATACAGGTATTTGTATATTTAAAATTTAATAATAATAATAATATAATTTTATTTTAAAAAACTCAAAACTTTATAAATTTTATAATGAAATTTTCAAAATGGCAACGTATTTCAGGAATTTGAATTAAAATTCACCGCATACTGCCACCAAACGGCGAAAGCTGACATCAAGATTTAAATATCTCATTACAGGACGCCGACTAGCGGCAAAAGAATGAACTATAAACATATAAAAATATTTCTCTTTATTTTCGCTGACAATGTTTAAAATAGAAATACCATTTCGATTATCTATCGTTCGGCATACAAATGCGTTACACGTGCATTATATGAAGCATTATCACCTTTTATAAACTCTTTATCGTAACATTTACATAAGTCTATCTATTCTATGTGAATAAGATTGATGCCGGTTACTTTATCTTTTCTTCTTATACTTTTGTAATTTTACACGCAGTCAAAGCATAAAATTTCAATTATTTTTCTATTAGTACGAGATGAGATACGGATTATACACAATAAGTAAATCGCATTTTTTTTTTTTTTTAAACCTCCTCAGTTTGATTTTTCTGTTAACAGATGTCAGCACTATCGAATATTGATCTAAATAAACTATTTTTAGAAGCTATTTTTGCGGATAAATAAAAATATATCCGCTTATTGTCAGCAAAAATATTATTCGAAATTTATCAAACAATGTTATTCTGACAGTCACGTTTTATTTCAATGAGACTTGATATCAGAACACAACATGGCATCGATCAAACTATTTATACAACTTTTTTCTCACTTTTCAGATAAGAAAAACGAAAATAAAATTATTAATTATATACGTTTTAATAAATAAAATTGTTTTTTTATTTTTGCTGTATTAAAAAATTTCATAAATTTTATAAAAGTAATTAATAATCGTTTTAATATTTAATTATATACCGATAGATGGCAGTGATTAAATATATTTTATCAACATTTACTTAATAATAATTATTATTAATAACTTAATATTAATTTCTCACAATAAAAAATAAATAAAATCTATGACAGTAATGAAAATTTTTAAAAATAAAAGAATAATAAGTTTTATCAATACAGGTATTAAGTATTTTAAATTTAGTAACACGTGTCGCCATCTTTCGTTTAAAAGATCAATATTTAATAATTTATTTTAAAATATGAAATTAATAAATAAACTGAACTATAAATAAATAAATAATAAATAAACGAGCGTTTAACTGATTAAATATATATATATA